GCACCGATGGCAGCTGCAGTGGGACGCCTCACGGAACGGAAGATGAACTCATCGTCTAATCCCAAAAGTGGACGTCTGGCTGACTCGTGGCCATGGAGAAGTCAACTACTACCTAACACAGATGCTATCGGGACATGGGTACTTTCGGGCATATCTCCATAAATTCAAGCATGAAGATTCCCTGAAGTGCCCGACCTGCGGAGGAGTGGATGAGGACGCGGAGCACGTGTTCTTCAGTTGCCCAGGTTTTAGCAAGATCCGAAGTAACTGGGAATCTACACCCGGAAGGCAGGTCCCGCCTGAGAACTTGGTGGAAGCAATACTGTCATCGCAGGCAGCCTGGGACGCAACGAGCAACTTTGCAGCCGTAGTTATGAAGGAGCTCAGAAGTGAGGAACGTAAACGCAAGGCTGCACAGCATAGGTGAGAAATCTGCTGGAACCTCCTACCCACACCCAACACCCTAGCTGGATAGGAGGATGTACTTCAGATGCAAAGAATGTGGAAGAGCTAATAGCTGAGACCCCCCTCGCGAAGTAATACTTAGCGGTGGTGCCGCGAGGGACAAGGCACGGATAATTAGAGGTAAAAAGAGGAAAACAGGGTTTTTACTGGGTAAAAATCCCAGATCTGGTTTTAACATCTTTTTACCAGAATCTTTTGAAGATTTTCCCAAACCTCTATAAAACACACACACATACACACACACATATATAAGAACATGTCTTCAAAATTCATTGAAAATGATTCTAAACGTCAAGAAACGTGGACAAATCATAAAAATTCCACATTCAATTTCCGGGGTCATTACTGTAACTACCCGATAGATCAGGAAGTTAAAAAAAAAGATGCAGACTGGAAAGCCGCCTCTGAAATCTCCCAAAAAGGAAAAAACCGGAGAATTGTGCCCACATTGTTGATAGCAGCAGATGCTCAGTGTATGGTCAGACTGAGGAGATTGTGCATTTGATTTTCAGAGGTAGGGACAAGGATGTCAGTGTGGATTCTGTAAAGTAACTCCGAGGGTTACAATCATCTCCGTTCTACGCAAAGAGACACTTTAGAAGCTCACCAGCAAACGGTGATGATCGTGCCGTACACGATCTGCTCATGCAAACAGTGCGGGAGCTGAAGCTTGATCTTGTCACTATCCATTTCGACATCTTGGCACTCAACCTTGGGTTACTGACGTCGGCAAATAGGCTGCAATCTGGTCTTGTGGGAATCGACAATTCCAGAGCATCACGAGTGATAATATACAGAATGGCTTTGTGAAGGCTAACGTTGATCAAATTCATTTCTACAGCAGGTACGCCCTACCGAGCCTTTCCATTGATGAGTTCACGCATTTCCTGGACAGACTGACTGAGGATGCGAAGCAGTACTTTCCCGTGGCAATAGCTGCGAATTTCAATGCCTGGGCAGTAGACAGCGGCCGTAAGGAGACCAATATTAAGGAGTAAGCCCTATGAGAATCCGTGCACTGTTAAAAATTTTCGTCTGAATTTTCCATGCCAAATTTCGGAAATTTTTGTCATGCTTAACCCTTAAGTGGTTACGTTTTTCTAGCATATCACTCGCTCTACAGTGGCGCCCTATAGGTTGCGTATGGTTTAGCGGGGATTTCCTCACGATGCAATCACTTAAGGGTCAATTTCCTCTGAAATTTCACGAAATGTTGCCAATGAAAAATCAAATATTCCATTAATTTTCTTTCGGAATGATCTGAGCATTAATAAAATACTCAATTTTTCAGTTTCATTATTCGGTGAAAATTCTAAAAAATCAGGATAATTCAGGGCAAAATTGAAAAATTCATGTCCTTTTGTTTCTGAGTATTCATGTTTCATTGAAAATACAATCAAGTTATGAAATTTCCTTCTCACTCCCACAGAACACATGAATTTCCTTGAATTCTATCTAAAACTTGAAATTTCATAAACATTTTCCCCTAAATCCGATTCAATATGACTCTCATGAGAATTACTATAATATCTTTCATAAAATTGTTATGCCCCAAAAAAGTAGAGCATAATTTCCCAACTTGCTCTGAAATATGGGCAACGTAAGTGGCACATATTTCAGAATCAAAACCTAAAATTGAGAAATGTCAATAAAAAGAAGAATATACGTGCATTAAAAGACACGTATATTCACAATAAAGAAGTAAGGCAGTGGAACGGCATCAGCAGTTTCCACTGGGTTCATTCGCATGGAGTTATCATAACACCATGCCGATATGAAGTAACAGTCAAGATATCATGGCCTCACGACGAAATATTGGGTGTGACTTAATTTTTATAGATTTTTCAGCAAATTTATTTAATAGAAAAAAATGGAGAACAACAAACTTAATCTTGGAAATATTGTCCATCGTTTTCTATGACCTTGTGCCATCTCTCAGGTAACATACGAATGCCGTTGCGAAAGAAACTTGCAGGCCTCGAGGCGATAAAGTCATCTAACTACAGCGTGCTGCATTGACCGGACCAAGTGATAGTCGGAAGGGGTCAACCCTGGTGAATATGCCGCGTGCGGGAGAACTTTCCATCCCAAGTTCAAGAGGGTCTTCTGAGTCGTGCGAGCAACGTGAGGTCGAGCATTGTGAGGCAGCAGTATGACTTGCCTGCTTCCTTGCCCAGCAAATGGCCTTTTCCGATCAAGTTCTTCGCTCAGTTTGTTCAATTGTCGGCTGTAGCGTTCCCCAGTCACCGTCTGACCAGTTTCCAGGAGTTCGTAATAAAGCATACCCTTCATGTCCCACCAAATACACAGGAGAATCTTCTTTAAGTGAATGTTCTGTTTCGGCGTCGATGTACTGGGTTGCCCGGGATCTCCCCCACGACTTCTTACGTTTGGGATTCTCATAAAAAATATACTTTTGATCACTTGTCATCACCCGTCACAATTTTCCACAAAAAGTCCTTTTTTTGTTGCCGGGCAAGCAGTGAAAGCATGTGTTCATACGTTGACCTAGGTTGCGTTAGGTCAACACATGTGGGATCCACCTTCCAAGTTTTTGGATTTTTCCCATTTGGTGCAAACGCTTGGAAATAGCTGTTTGGGTGACTCCTAACTGAGCTGCAAGCGCTTGTTGCGTTTGCATTGAGTCTTCATCCAGTAGAGCTTGAAATTCCGCATCTTCAAACTTTCGAGGCTGTCCAGGGCGCGGCTGGTCAGTAAGATGGAAATCACCACTTCTAAAACGTTTGTACCAATAATTACACGTTTCATAAGCCACAACGTCGGCACCAAGAACAGTACATATTGATTCCCGAAATTTGTATAAAATGCAGTGCCGAATGTGCTGTTTATCAGTTGCCATCGTAAACTCTGCTATTCTGAGAGGTTATTTAACTCACGTAAACTTATCGTTCGGTGTTCTGAAACCTTTTGTCCAATCCTTTCAAAACCACAAAAGACCACGAAAATATTTCTATTTTAAATATAATTTCAAGCTCGAAGAAAAAATCTGTAAAAATTACCTCCCGAGATTTTGTTCCTCCATTATATATGGGGCAATACCAGAATTTTTCTCAGAATTTCACTACAAAAATTCTAATATTTTTCTTTCCGTGTACAGTTTCGGAAATAATCCATTTTGACGGGCGTTATTCACATTTTCACGGGTCGATACATGGTATGGACCCCGTATGTGAGGGGTAACGGGAAAACTTTCTCATTTTTATGCTCATGTCTGGCAACGCTGCATTTTCTCCTATCCCTACTCTTAATTGAATTCCTGAGAGTACCATTCTAGGGTTCGTTTCTAGTGAGAAACGTTCTACAACTTTCGTTCCGACTTTCATTCCGTGCTATAATGTTCCAAGACTTTCGTTTCGCTTCTCACACGTTCCTTGGAACGGAACGTAAAAACGGTTCATTAGAAGAATAATAGTTGATTAGAGTAACAATAGAATTCAATAGAATAAATTGCATTTATCTTTTCTAAGGAAAAAAGAAAAGAAAAAATGCGTGCAAAGTTGTCATATTTTCAGTAGAAATCGGAAAAAACTAATCGAATAGCCAAGAAAATTCCCTAGCAAATACCTTAAGATTCTATATTGGATTTTTTCATGCATGACAAGAATCACTTTGACATAATTTTTTTGAACAATTTGTTCTACTCTACGATAAAAAAGTCTTCGTAAACTTTTTACAATCTACACTTTAGTCGAAGATATTTATTAACTAGACACCCAACTATTCTACACTTAACTCTAGTCTAGTTACCAAACGCAACCCTGCGACTTTGGTCACCTGCGCGGGGACTTGCCGCCGTGTTATAGGCTTTAGCGTTGCCGAATTCGCTCTACACTGCCCGGGTGCGTTTTGCGAGTTTCCGCCAACGTCGCGTCATGGGCAATTTCATTTAACATGGGAAAAAATAATTCATCTGTCCGAAATAATTTGTTTTCTTTAGGAATTTTGGGAAATATGTTGTTCCAAAAACTACTATAATTTTTTAGACACTTCAATTGACAAAGTCATATTTCTTCCATTTTTCTGGTTGGCCAGTCAATTGTAATTGAAGAAAAACGGGGCGCGGCGGGTTTCCCTTATAGGGTGACCAACCTAGGGTAAATCCATTTCATTTCGTTCGACCACTTTATCACTGAATTGAACTTTGCACATGTCAATTACAATAACGAGTGGAAATTTCGCGCCCATAAAATAAAAACTTCGAACAACATTTGATCGATAGGAAAAAAATTACGAGACTATTCCCTATTCCGTTGATCCCCGGAAGTGTTTTTGACCACTTTCTTTGTACCCATAATTTTGAAATTTAAAACATACTCGGGACTCGTGTTTTTTCCGATACCAGCTAGGGAGAGGGTCAAGGTCGCACGTGTCAGTATGACACAAAAACAACGCTCCGTTGATACAGATACACATAACGCTTGCAAAGATTAGTTTTCCTTTTTTATTTTTTGACAAAAGAGGTACTAGGATAGTGTTACAGTCAGAAATATTGATGATAGCTGTCGTATACTCACACTTCTATGGCTTTGTTCCAGTTGATCACGTAGCCAGATAAAACGAAGGTCTCGATGTGAAGTACATGGATGTTGCCCCTTTCCGTGCCAACGTACAGCCATTTACTTTGAAGGGGCAGGTGCATCGAGGTTATCCTGTAAATGCCAAAAGAGAGGAAAATATAGAAATCGAAATAGAGTTAATGTTGAGGAAAAACCCAGGGAAAAAATGCTTTCGAAATTTTTCTACTCATCAGAGAGGAAATCGAATGAGGGAAAAAGTAGAAAAAACAAGCGATAAAAGATGAAACCATGAGTAATTTGATAGTTGGTACATGGAGAACAGGAGATGTGTACAAACATTTCGTAGGAATCATTTTGCAAATATTTGCGGAAGGAAATGGAATTGTGCAATTCAACAAATGAACTCAGTAGAGTTTTTCTTTCGTAAAGAATTTCACAAATTGATATATTGACAAATAATATGCATGAAAACAATTGGAAACAATTCCTTTCATGCATAGGATTGCAGATAGGACTGCAGCCTATCCGACAGAAGGCATGTGACTGTGGCTTTTTGCGTTAGTCCTTTTCTTTTTTCTTTTGATTCTACTAATTTCATTGGTAGTGAGCTTCCGAATGGATTCGCAGCAATTCCCTGTTCCTATGACAGATGTATCTACAATGGCAACCGCATTCTGCAGGGTGAATACAAGAAGGCTACAAAAGGTTAAACATCTCCAAACCTGCTCCGTTCATTGTGCCCATCCAAAATATCGACCTTCAATATTATACCATCTGTAATGGTACCAAGTTTTAACTTGATATCTCCATTTTCGTTTCCGAATAGAAGCAATTGGGATTTTTCCGATTTCTTAATTTTGGGTAGAAATGCCTAAAAATGTCATAAAACATGAAGAAAGTATGTACGTGTGTACACATTTGTGGTCGTTTATCCAGAACTGATAGTCAAATTTGTGCTAAATTTCAGCTCGATCGGTTGAGCAGTTCCTAAAATGTAGGGATTCCTCAAAAATCTTTTTTTTGCAAATATCTCCTGAACCATTCGACCGATTCAATTTTTTTGAAATACTCGTCATGATAAAACGTATTCAACTTAATTGAAAAAAGACCATACCACCCTCAGAAATGTAGTTTTATTTTCGTCTTTTCATTTTTTCCCTGAAATTATTTGTACGCATGATCCTCTATTAAAAAAGTCGTGAAACGAAATCTGTCACCGATCTATTTCGCCTTGATCATGATCATATATATATGATCATAATCATATATATATATATATATATATATATATATATATATATATATATATATTTTTTTTCTTTTTTTTTTACGGCCTCGGAGTCCCTTTTT